TTATTGCACATTGTTTACTAAACGATCATAGACCTGGGCAGATTGTTGCTCTTCAGGACGGGGCACAGACCAGCAGAGAAGAGGACATTTCTCAACGGATTGTATGTGTGTGAATAAAGCGGGGCCCTGTCCGCCCAGCGAGGGCTCTGTAAGAGACGGCTTATGAGGTCAAGGTGGGCTGCCAGCTCTTGCGTGACAAGATACATAGGGCTTTTTGATTCGCTCTTTGGCAGATTACAGGTTGCTATAGTTTCTCTAATGCTCAAATCAAGCATTCAGCTAATCGGCTCAGAATAGTTTAAAGGCTGCCGCTGATTTGGAAGAGATAAAACTTGGTGACGGAAAATCGGGGTGGAGAGTTTGACAAAAGCATGGCTGCTCCTGCTTTGATGTCCCGCTCCGTGTGAATGTGGACGGGGACCGGAGAAACACTCTGAGCTTATGGCCAAACACGCCAATACGACGAAACACAATGGCGACTATGGAGAGCAACAAGGCCCAAAAGAGTTGTGTTATCCTATTACTGATGTTGTTTTCTTGCTTTCTTCCACTGTCTCGCTCCGGGGATCTCTGACACACAATGAATACAAAAATAACACTTGGAACTCCTCACTTGGTCACCTCAAGTTTGTAAGTAGCCTGTACGTTCATCTGTATTCATGCATTAGAGATTCTGTGTAGTCTAGAGGACATTTGTGTTTAGAAAAGCATAACGATCAGTAATAGCAATGATAAAGTATACCAATATTTAAATATGTATTTAAATTGTGACATCATTTCTAATTCAGGCCTGGGTTATTATAACAAACAAACAAACAAACAAACAAACAAATAAATAAAAACAAAGATAGATGATACAATTATAAAATAACTTCGACCCTATTTAATGTTTTAATGCATATTACTGGCGTTAATGGGCGTGATTCATAAGTGCATGTTTTTCTAAAAAAAAAAAAATTGAAAACGGAAAATTTAATTGATGTAATTTACATTTATATTAATTGAATTTAGATACATTTACACACACAATTGTAACAATTTGTAGCTTTACTCTGCTCACTCTGGTGTTTTTTTGTTTTTATTATAGAAATTATTATCATTGTTATTAATATTAATACTAATTATAATAATTATTATAATAATAATTCAGTCTATATATGAAACCCTGTTGCTCACTCGAGTGAAAAATAAAATTAATTTAAACATGTATTATTATTATTATTATTATTATTATTATTATTATTATTATTTTACGAAAATACAATAAGGGTGATAAATTATACATTGTAAATCGATAAATCATATGTATAGTCGCAGATATACAGCGCTGAAATTAACTGAAAATGTATATCTAAAAAATGGACTACAAAATTTATTTAGGTTACAAAAATGGGCCTTGCAAAAGGTTTGATACAGAGAAGAAGATTTTGGTAACATTTTATTTTAAGGTGTCCCTATTTTACCCAGCACTGGGTTGTATTTAATCCAGCATTTTTTTGAATGTACAATTACACTGTAACAAGGACACATTAAAATAGTGTAACCAAGATTTTCAGTGAATAACTACTTCAATTCTGGTCTGTTCCTTACAACAAGTCTCTCTTTTGTGTTCCACAGAAAAATAACACCAAACAGGTTTGGAACAACATGAGGCTGAGTAAATAATGTCAGAATATACTTATTGGGGTGAATAATGTCAATATGATCTTTGTGAATGAGTAAAAGAGGGCCGTTCAGGTGAGTCCAGTGCTTATAGTAGCTCAGCGCTGCTCTTCTGAAGCCCAGGTGTGCCGCTGTAGCCCGAGTACATCACATGTGTGATTGACATCGATGTGGTGATTGACAGCTGCTGTGTTTGCATGTGTGTGTTGCAGACGGCGCTCCACTGGGCGGCCAAGCAGGGCCGTGTGGAGATGGCGGACATGATGGCGCGCTCCGGAGTGGACGTCAACCAGAGAGCGGTGAGAGCTGACAGGAGCCAGCGCCCCCACTGACACGCTCACATTTACACCTCTGCAGGGGCCCGCACACACAACACACACCCAAACACACACACAAATGAACACCTCCTCCTGCCGCTCAGGCTGCCCGTATAATGTGTGTGTTTGCGTATAATTAAAGCGTAATTTCTCTTTAATATGAGCCCTTAGGCCACAAACTTCCTCGCCTATGTGATTCGACGTGGCTAATCAGCTAAATTTTACTATTAATCAAACACACTCGCAGCGAGGGCTCGGATTTAAGTGGAGTGTGTTCGCATAAACATGACCTCATGTTTATTTATTCCAGATCTGCTAACAGTCAGGCAGTGAATGCTTTGGCCTTCCCCTCAGTTCATGCATATTATAATGCACTGTATCTTATCTCGTCATATTGAGGGTTGGTGAAGTGCAAAGGAAATACTGACAGGATCTTTGTGCCTCTGGCAGCACCCCTCCCTCCCTCCCGACCCCCAGCCTTTATTTGGAGGTCTATTTTCCCTTTATCACCCACAGCATCGTGGATCCTCTCAGAAGGTTATTTCAGATCAGATCCTGCTGCAGTTTAAAGAGTCCAATTCAACCCTTTGCAAATGGGCTGTTTATATAAATGTGAGGATCCAAGAGTGTTTGTTTGTGGGTAAGGGACTAAAAACATGTCAGAAATTATGATTAAAAAGGGGAAAGATTTTACATTTTTATAGTATTCAGGTTGGTTTTACACACATAATATATATCATTTTCAACAATGGTTTTGAGTTAATGATTCTAAAATTGTTAAGTAGTGTAACCAAAAAATACCTTTCAGCACGTCAATGTATAATTTATTATTATTATTATTATTATTATTATTTTATTCTAACATTTTTTCAAGGTTTAAAGTAGTGTTTAATATATATATATATATTAGTGCTGTCAAACGATTAATCGCGATTACTCCAAAATAAAACGTTTTTTTTTTTACATACTATATGTATGTGTGCTGTGTATATTTATTATGTATATATAAATACACACACAAGCATGTATATATTTCAGAAACATATGCTATGCTCATATAATAAATATATTGATTTATAACATAAATTATATGAATATAAATCTAGACATTATAGATATTTTCAAAATGTATACTGTATGTGTGTGTATTTATATATAAATAATAAATATACACAGCACACATGCATATTTTATACAAATTTGATTTTGTGTGCGATTAATCACGATTAATCGTTTGACAGCACTAATATATATATGTGTGTGTGTGTGTGTGTGTGTGTGAATATCAACAAAATATCTTCCTGCATGTGGTACACTGAATATTGTGTTACATTTTCTTATATTCAAATTTGTATTAGTTTTATACTAATGTTAAATCTTTAAATAAATATAAAAATAAAAAGAAAATGAAAATTGAAATGACAAGTTCATTTCAACCAACTTAATCAAAAATAAAATATTTAAATACATATTAAAATAAAATGTTTTACATTCTATTAAACAAAAATACAAATCTAAGGACCAAAGCTTTGATAAAAATAATTCCAAACTACTTAATGTTACATAATGTTACATCTCTTTAAATTTTTTTCAAACTGCCAAAATATCAAATTAATTTTAATTCAAAAAATGTGAGCATGTGCATCATAGTAAAGGTGTAGATTTATTTATGTATTTAGTTAGTTAGTTAGTTAGTTTGTTTGTTTGTATAAAAATATAGTTGTAAAATCCAAAGAGGGAAAGTGCTGTGATTACTTAATGTTTTCTCTCACTTTTCCCACTACTGTAATCTCCCTCCTCATTCGATCTGCAGTGACGTGCTCATTGAAGATAATGTTTAAAGCCTTCACGAGCACAGTCAAGCACACACGCACTTTTTATTGCCTTCATAATTACATAATTAACTTTTGCTCTCTAATCGTTATGGGGCTAATGGTGCTCTTCAAGTGCAGTCTCCTCTGGGCAGAAATGGAATAAAAAAATCAATAATCCATGCAGCGCTGTCAGGGTCTGGATTTGCCTCACTGTGATTCACAAACACACGATCGTGGATTTCTCTTTCTGTCACTGTCTCATTTTCCCTTTTGATAGACTTTTTTGGTGTTTCACCACTGAAAACAAAAATTGGTGAAGAATTTTGACTAAATGCTACCAAATTACACAAACAATTACGAAGAAATGGCAAGAGCAGTGAATTAAATATGAAGTTTTGAAGTAGAAAAACATATTCTATCTAAGTTAAAAATGCATAAACTGTTTATGTTAATTTATTATATGTGAATTTACATCTGATCGATGAAATGGTCAATTCCTTTAACTTTTAACATGTTTTATGAATAAATTAATAAGTTCATGCCTGTCTCTCTCTCTCTCTCTCTTTTAATACCAACACCTTTACCTGGGTTTTTAAGCATGTAAGTGTCCACCTGGTTTTATTCAGTTTCACATATTCAGAAAATGCATGTAAATTATCACAGTAGATTCTGACATTACTTTCTCCGTGAAGAATACATGTAATGTTCCCATAACATTTGGCCCAAACATGATATCATATCTACACTTTAGAGCAGTCTTGAGGTTGGAAGTGCACCCATGATGCTTTGAAATGCTGCAGGCGGCTCAATATGTTTTGTAGACTTAGATTTATGCTCTTCATATGAAGGAAATATTTCCAAAGCCAAACTGCCCGTGCTGTCGGTGTGAAATTAAGTTCTTGACCCATCTTGTGCTATGCTTATTCTGTTTCTGTAATCTTCTCTGGCTTTTGCTGGCAAATGGGAGCCGCCTCTGGTCTTGATGACGGCCTGCTTTCTTCTTTCTTTCTGAAGGGGGTGAGTTTGATTTCAATACACCTGTGAAATGAAGCAGGATTTAGAAGAAATGTGCTTCAGATTACGCTACACACTCATTGGCTGTCCAGCTATCAGAGGATTGTGGGACGGTTAAGAACTGGCACACTGTGGGACCAAATCCCTTTTCCTTGCCTAGCATTGAACAAATAGGTTTTATTAAACATTCAAAATGGAGATACTATGAGATTAAGTTACGAACCTCGGAAGTAATGGGGATTTAATGCCATTACCATTCAGACTAATACAGGAAGTATGTGCAATAGTAGGGTGTTTCCTAAGCTGAATATGACAATTTTTATCATTTCATTTTGTGGAGCTCATTGCTATTACTGCCTGCACAGTTGATAAGTTCTAAATGGCATACTATAATGCTGTTCATAGTATATTATAAAGGATTAGGTATGCATACTTGGTGTATGATACCTCGAAGAAAAACATATTGATCAGAATTAACCAGGCCTACATAGAGTTCACTATACCTGAGATGCACCTAGAACTTAAAATGTAATATATATTTCTTTGTTTGCCTTGAAAGTCAACAAAGTCATATAGTAAAAGTAAAATGGGTTGAGAGTGCATGTGATTAGGGCTGGGTAAAAATATGGATAGCTGATTTTTTTTTTTTTTGGAAATATGAAAAGTTGTATGTCATGCATTTAAATGTATTTGTAATTACACATGTATAATGATGGCACTGAAATGTAGTGCATTTAAACTATATTACATTTAAAAGTAATAACACTACAGTTAAAATTGCAATCAAGCACTTTACATGTGCTTACATGTGCTCTACACATCAAAATAAATGTACTTCTTTAAAACACAAACAAATGATTATGAAAACGGTGAGTGAAATGTTTACTGTGACATTATTACAAAGTGCACTTTTTAAAAGTCTGCTAAAAGGCACAATATGTAATTTTCGCCGCTAGAGGGATTATTAACATAGCAGAATGAAGCAGGGTGAGGCTGAAAGCCGTCGAAATGAAACGACTCGAAAGCAGCGGAGCTTTTATTACGCCACAGTCGACCGCTTCTGCTCCTTCCGGTCGTGCGTATGTGGGGTAAAGCAGCTCTGTTTTATCATACTAGATACATTTGAAAGTTCTGTTATAATGCTACTTTGTGCGGTCGTCACCGGTCTATTAAAACACACAACAATAATAAAGCGTCTTTGGTGTTTCCATGTTTTCTACAAAACAAAACCGGAAATCGAGGGGTTATGACGTCATTGGCAGGCGACACAATCACACTATGGACACGCTCCGTGTCACTAGTTAAAATTGCTTATTTCTCTGGATTTAAACATTCTTCGAAACATTTGGGATAATGAAAGTACACAAGTCAGCAAAATATATAACACTGTTCTAGTGGGTTTTGGATATTTTAATAAAAAAATCTTACATATTGTGCCTTTAAGTGAGTTAAGAAACATAGTCATGAAAGTGTACTGTATTTACACTAAGTACACTTAAGTGGCCTTGTTTTATTTCATTAATATTACACTACAAGTGCACATTCAATACAATTAAGCAAACTTCTTCTTCACGAGGGTCATGACAGCAGTTAGTCAGTCTCGTTAAAACCAAACTCACTGTCTTACCTTGATCTCCATTGGCTCCTTTGGCACCCTGGACGGTCTCTCCAGGTCCTTTACTGATACTGAAGCTGACGTGAAACTGAGCACATGAAAGTGGATGTGACCTTTCCAAAAATGTCAGTGCTAGGACTAGTGTAATAATCTACAAGTGCACATTCAATACAATTAAGCAAACTTCTTCTTCACGAGGGTCATGACAGCAGTTAGTCAGTCTCGTTAAAACCAAACTCACTGTCTTACCTTGATCTCCATTGGCTCCTTTGGCACCCTGGACGGTCTCTCCAGGTCCTTTACTGATACTGAAGCTGACGTGAAACAGAGCACATGAAAGTGGCTGTGACCTTTCCAAAAATGTCAGTGCTAGGACTAGTGTAATAATGAGGAGTAGAGCAGAGGGAAGTCTACTTTAACCTTTAAGGGCAGCAGCACTACACTATGATAGTGCTGTGCTGTTAGCAACATGGCTACGCTGTGCTACACACTACAAACACAGCCACCAGCGATCCTGGACTGATTCTAGGCTGCATTACCCGAAGAATGAAGTAGTGACACCTTTACATGGACGTCTAGCATGTTTGCACTCCATTTCATGCAGTAACACTGCTGAAAAAACAAACAAAAAAGCAATAGACACCATTACAGAATTTGTAATGGTTTTACTGGTTATAATGGGACCTGTATTGGTTTTAATGGGAACTGTAATGGACCCTTTGGGTTTATACTGGTAATTGGTCGCCTTCTATTTGTGGCTTGTTAAAACCAATAAATCTGAATGGAATATGTCCCAAAACACACTAAAGAAAAACATTTTGAATGGTTTTAATGGTTAAAAGTTGATGGTGTGTAATGTTTGTAATGGTACTTGTAGTTAGAAGACCATTAGAATTTTCTGTGATGGTTTCTATTGTTTTTATCAGCAGGGTAGGCTTGAGTACTTCAAGGACTACCCATGATTCAATCTCTGTGTGTTTCTCTATATAAGTTCTGTTCCAGAATGTGAACGCTGTCTGCTGCTTACATAGACCTCCTGAGTGACTGATTTGTATCAATCTACACAGGCAGCAACTCG